ATAATCGCAAATCATCGTCGTTCATCCTTAAATTGGCGTGGACGACAAAAATATTGCCTGGATAAATTACAATAAAGAAACCGAGTTACCTAATAATATGAGTTTGAAGCTGGGGATCGATATTTCATCGTATTCCAATTGATGACGCTGACCCAGCCACTCTCTACGAGAGACCGCGGTGGGCCCCAGCTGTCGATGGTCCTCACACCCTCGTCGGAGGCCTTAATCAGTGCGGGTAAACCTGCCGGGGTGGTCCGCTTGCGTCCCTCTTGTTAAGAAGGTCAAAGTCTCAAGAAAGTCCCACCAAATTTTCACATTTAACGACATTGCCATTCTCCTCCGCTAGATTTGCCTTTGTGAAGAGACAGTTAAATGGGATCAACCTTACTCTGCCCGCACAAGTCCACTACTTCTCTGCTGCTATTTTTTAGGGCAGGCAGAACCCTTGAGGACTCCATCCACTATGATCTTATGATGAATTGATTTGGGGAGGACAATACTTGAGAAGAGTCTTGAAGTGAGCTAGTCGCTTTGAAGATAGCAGGCGCCAGCCCTGGGCGATGTGGATCCATCCTGCATGGGTTACGACACTACGACGGTCACCTACCAGCCTTACTTCACGGAACACAACAACCAATTCATGCCTCCAACAAAAACTCTCTAACATGGCCACGCATCCTCTTGCATGAGCTAGTGACATCCATCCCCATGGTCCTTGTTATCAGCGAGTGAGATGGGTCTCCAATGGCGAGATCCCCCAACTCTCTCCCATGCACGTCCGCTCCCCTCTGTGTGTCCCCATTCCGAGGTCTCCAACACTATATAGAATCCTCCTCTCTTCCACACAAACACCTGCTCAACTCTTATATTCGGAAAACAAAAAAACCATGGACGTTTCTTGCTGATATCTTCGTACAAGATCAGTAGACCTTTTGTTGAATTTGATAGGAATAAGGGAAGAGTAAAGCTTCGATCTTTTATATTTCTCTTAAAAAACTCTTTATAATTTTAGAAACTTTATCTGTTTCATAACCTAATATTTCTCTTAATTTTTTTTTATAATTTTAAAAACTCTATCTTCATGACGCAATATATGGAGTTTATATAGTCCCCAAAGATACATTACATTAATTGTATTCAAAATGAATCTTTTTTTTTTCAAGAAACTCTTTCAAGAACTAATAATCAATTTGACTTTTCCTTCCATAAATATTTAATCTATTTTTTCTTCTTGATGTAACGAATCTTCCTCTTGATACAATGAACCTTTCTTTTGATAAAATTAATCTCTTTATGACATTTGAATATGTTTAATTCTAACATTCTCCCCCCTTCAACTTATTCCATCTAACATATCAAGTTTCTTTTGAAGTTGTTTAAACATTTTAAATTTGAGAGGTTTTGTAAGTATATCGGCCACTTGTTCACTTGTTTTGATATGTTATAACTCCACTTCTTTATTTTTGATATGATCTCTTATGAAATGAAATCTTGTGTCGATATGCTTCAATCTTTCATGGTAGACTAGATTCTTGGCTAAGACAATAGCTGATTTGTTATCAACATAAATCTTGGTTGACTTATCCAGTAGTATATGAAGTTCTTGAAATAATCTTCTTAACCAGATTGCATGACAAACACTAGAAGAAACTGCTATATATTATGCTTCACAACTTGATAGAGCAACGATTTGGTGCTTTTTTGAAGACCAAGTGAATATAGCTTTACTAAAATAAAATATATATCCAATTATATTTTTTCGATCATCGTAGCTTCCGGCCTAATCACTATCATTATATCCAATAAGCTCCAACCTATTAGATGATGAATAGAACATTTCATACTCAATTGTTCATTTAATATATCTCAAAATTCTTTTAGTGACATTTAAATTAGATATCTTAGGAACTTCCATATATTTATTATTAAACCAACTCCAAATAGTATATCAGGTCGAGTGCATGTTAAATACCTTAAACATCCAACTAGACTTTTATAACAAGTTGGATTAATGTATTTACCTTTACATTCCTTGGTCAACTTGGTGACATATTCAACAAGTGTATCTGTAGGATGATAATCTTCCATAGAAATTTTTTTTAGAATATCTACATAATTTTCTTATAAGATAAAAATTTCTCCATTATCTTGTATAACTTCAATACCAAGGAAATAAGTCATTAAGCCTAAGTCGATCATCTCAAACTCTTTTTTTATAGAGTATTTAAAGTCTTTAATCATGGAACTACTATTGCTTATAAATATTAAATCATATACATACAGGCATACAAACAAGATATCTCCATTAGAGTTAGATTTTGTATACAGAGCAGAGAATATTTATGTGGACATTTAGAAAAAAATATTTGAATAAAATAAGCATCTATTCGAGAATTCCATGCTCGTGGGACTTATTTAAGCCCATAAAGAGCTCTCTTTAACTTGTATACTTTATCTTCTTATTCATGAATAATAAAACCAGGGGGTTGTTGAATATATACCTCTTCTTCATGAACTCAATTAAGAAATGCTAAATATCTATTTATAAAATTTTTCATTTCATTTGAGCTACTAGAGAGATAAGTAATTTTACTATCTCTAATTGAGCAATTAGTGTAAATACTTCTTCATAGTTAATTCCATATCGTTGTTTGTATCCCTTTGCAACCAATCAGGCATTGTATTTCTCCATCTCTCCTTTTGCATTTCTTTTTGCTTTGAAGATCCACTTAACACTATAGCTTGGTGATCTTCTGGAAGTATAGTAAGCTCCCATGTATTATTTTTGTTAGTGACATGAATCTCTTCATTCATAGCCTATCGTCATTTTTCTTCTCTACAAGCTTCTTCAAAGGTTAATGGATCAAATCCCGTAAAAAATATAAAATAAAGAAAGTTCATCATTATTAGTATCAATCTTTGAGTCACATCATATAGCTCCTGAATTGATATTGTTCTTCTTATAATTGGACTTCTTGAATCATGTGACCTAGTTGATTTGGGTGATGATTCCGGTAAAGCTATTTCAGTGCTTATTTGTATTATATTATCATCTTTTAAAGCTATAGCTTTCTTATGTTACTTATCATTTTTTCAGTTCCAAATCTGTTGTTCATCAAACTCAACATCTCTTGACATCACAACCTTATTTGTGATAGGATTATAGAGTTTGTAACAATTGGAATTATCTGGATAACCTAGCAAAATGCATTTCTGACTTTTATCCTCTAATTTTGTTCTATTTTCTTTTGGTATATTGGTAAATGTGATACTTTCAAAAATTCTCAAATGATCAATTCTTAGTTTTTGTAAGCTCCATGCTTCTTCTAGTATAACATTACCAATTCGCTTTGTTGAAACCTGTTAAGCAAATAAACTACACAAGCAATATCTCTCCAAAAATTTTTAGGAAATTTTCTTTCCTTTAACATGCATCAAACTATATTAAGAATAGTTCTATTTTTTTTTGAGACACCATTTTATTGAGGTGTGTATGGCATAGTAAATTGATGTAGAATTTCATTATTTCTAAAAAAACTTTCAAATTCATTTGATATATATATCTACCACCCTTATCTATTCTTAAACATTTAATCTTACAACAACTTTGTCTTTCAACAAAATCCTTAAAATTTTTTAGTTTTCTTTTAACATGTAAACCTAAGTTTTGCCACTATGATCATAAAGGTAAGAAAATATTTGTTTACTCCAAGTGATATTAGATTGATAGGGCTACAAATATCTGAGTGCACTAGATCGATTTATAATCATTTGTTCATGAACTTGAAAAGAACTCATAAGTTCTTCTAAAGATATTTTTTCTAAATCTTTAGATTATTCAATCGCAATAGCAATAAAATCAAATTTTAGATCTAGAGATCTCAATATTTTTTCTATTACTCTTTGATCACTTATTTGTTCACCATTTCATCTCATATGATGAACAATAGAAATGATTTTTGAGAAGTAATAAAAAATAATTTCAAAAGTACCTTGTTGTAATTTTTCAAATTCAGCTCGTAAAACTTGTAGACAAAGTTTCTTTACCTTATCAATGCCACTAAATGCTTTTTAAAGAATTTCCCAAGCCTCCTTTGAAGTATTTGCTGGAGCAATGATCTCGAACATTGTATCATCAAGTCCTTGGTAGATTATAAACAAAGCATTTTTCTCCTTCTTCCTTCTATCTTTGAGTTGCTTTCTTGCTTCTGTATTTATTGCTCATTCTTTTGTTGGACTTGGTTCAATATATTCATCTTCTACAAACTCTCATACATCTTGGGAGCCTAGAAGAACCTTCATTTAGATGCATCATGTATCATAATTTTTTTTTGTCAATCTTAGAATTTAAATTTGGATGATACTTAGGGAAGAGGCTATAGCTTAACCTATGCTCTGATACCAAATGTTGAATTTTATAGGAAGAAGAGATAGAGATATCAAATAGAGGAAGAGTAAGATAAGCTTCAATCTTCTATATTTCTCTAAAAAAACTCTTTCCAATTTCAGAAACTTTATCTGTTTCATGATTCAACATATGAGGTTTATATAATCTCCAAAGATACATTACATTAATTATATTCAAAATGAATCATTCTTTTTTAAGAAACTTTTTCGAGAACCAAAAACTAATTTGACTTATTTTTTCATAAATATTTAATTTATTTTTTTTAATGTAATAAATTTTTCTCTTGATACAATGTACCTTTCTTGATGAAATTAATCTCTTTATGACACTTGAACATATTTAATTCTAACACCTTTAATAGTATTTTTGGTACTACATGGTTGTTCTTGTAACTAGTTGGTAATTAACACCATTAATTTGGGTCGATTCTGGCTTTCAGGTTCAGTCAGCAACAATTGCATTGTCATAGAAATGCCTCGACGATCATGCTGTGGACGTCGACGAAGAGCCAAAGAAAGAGGAAGCGATCCATGTCACAAATGATGAGATAACGGTTCAAGAATTCGTAGCCAAAGTGGAGATAACACCCAGGCTAGTACTGTCGACTAACGAGACAATTGTCGAAGAAGAAATGGTTAAAGACAGTTGAGCTGCCTGAAGAAGCAAAAGCTCCTGATGTGGCGATGCCTATAGAGGGGACTACCGAATCCACTGTCCCAGACGAGACACCAACAAAAAAACCAGAGAAGGCATTTGACGAGGGAAAAGAGGACTCGGAGGGAAAGCCTGCAGACGAGAAAGCAAGCAACGAGGTCCCGAGCAAGAAGAGTGAGGACTGAGTGGGGGAGCGAGTTTGTTGCAAGTAGATTCTTCGTTAACTACTAGTTTGGCTATTGGCTACCATGCTGTTGTCATTTAGATCACCGTCGTTTGTGTTCTGCTTGAAATATTATACGGCTACAAATTGCACACATATAGCTTCATGGAAATCATATATAATTATTTTTTATTATAAATATTCGAAAAAAATATAATTCTCATTCGAAAAAAATGATAAGTTATATCTATGTCGATATTCATGCTCAATCATTGGAATTTTAAATTTAATTTAAAATATTTTATATATTATCATGTGTTACTAAATGCGCATAAAGGTTTATGTTTATAGTATAAGTTGACAAAATTATTTTTATCAAAATTTATGTGATTGAAGTTTTGTTTCTATTTGTTAAAGTTTTTTTATTTTTTATTAATTATGATATTTTAGATTTTTTAAATAAATTTTAAATTATTTACATGTTTTAAAGTATTTTCATAATTAAACATGAAGTCTGACTTGTTGACACAACGTTACAACTAGTGACCTAGGGCTTAATCGAATAACAACTCGGTAATATTAATAACTATACTTTGTAATTACAATGTCACTAAAATTTAATGTATATTTTTCAGAAAAATATGAAACTAACATGAGATATCCATGTTATAAACATGGGATGTCATTTTGCATGTGGACAATTTCTTTATTTCTTTTTTTGTTTCTGATACAAGGCATA